AATAACAATTGCATGGGATACGTCTTTCATCTTCAGGAAAAGTAATAATCAATTTGTTTGACACACATTGGAGATGATATTGTTTGCGCAGGTGCCGCTATATGTGGCAACAAATTTAGCATCCAAAGTAGCATTAATCGAGAAATCATCAATGTTCGTTCTATCGCCAGAAGATTATGCCGAAGCGGCAATCCGGCAGATAGGGTACGAACCCCGGTGCACTCCGTATTGGTCTCACTCCATTCAATGGTGTTTTGGGCGCTTGCTATATTCCTTATGCCCTTCTTCGTGTCTGGCGTCTCTCTATTTGGCCTTCGACGGAGAGGGAGCTCGTAGTTTCATTCCTTTCTTATAAAAATGGATTCTTATTATATTAAGATTCGAATTTTAATATTTATAATATTTATAATATTTTTTAGATTTTGGTCTTAGTATAAAACTTATTTTATTTTTAATTATTAGGATTTAACCCAATTCAATTAAAAAAAACTTAGTAAATTAGCATGCATTGGATGGAATATTGTAAAATCTCCATGTTTTCATCTTTACCAAAATATGTACATTTTTTTTTCTTGCTTTGGGAATCCCATTCCATGATAACAGCATATTAATGGAGATATTAATATTGAATTTGAAATTTAATTTAAAATTTAAATCTCAAAATTTATAATTTTTTTTTTATAAAAAAGAATATACTAATATTTATACAATATTACTATACTTTATTCCATTCTAACTTTTTATTTTTGATTGGTAATTAAAGATGTGGAGAAGATAGTATAATATTAATATAGTATTATAATATTCTGAAATTGATCTGATCTCATGGACTTGATTTAATGAAATTTAACGAACTCAGCTCAAGGGATTGCATCTTATATAAGGATGCCGATCTATTTGAGATGACAGTACTAAAACCTTAATGAGTATAAATGGAATAAATTTCTATCGGAATAAACCTGCCTAATTGTGATCAGCTTGTGCGGAATGAATGCACATTTACTAAGCCGGCAGGTTAGTTCAAAGGCGTATATCTGACCCCCTTCATTATAGGAAGCTATTCACTTTTGCATATATGAAAAAAATGCTTATAAGATACTATTATTATCTTTAAATTTTATTTTGATTCAAAAATAAAGAAATGTAAAATTTATATTAATGTAAACGATTTCTATCTTGAGTTTATATTTAGGAGAAATGTATGAATTATATATATATTTAACATAATGAATTCTTTTTTCTATATATTTAAAGCTATGGGAGGTTTTTTTTCTTAATTAATCAATTTCTAGCCCTATCTAAATCAAGCTCGAGTGTATATAATTAAACTTAGACATCAGCTGCTATAATCTCTTCTATTACTTTGGCATTTTGATGTGACAAATATCATGGATCAAGAGCTTAAACTTAACAATTTTACAGTCTTAAACAAAAAGTATCATCTAGGACTTATGTGCGGTCCGTGACACGAGTATATGCTTAGTGATGCACTGGGTATTCTCGTGGCAACACACTTGTTCCAGTTGCTCCAAATCAGCCTAATTACATTCATCGAAAACGTCTAAATCCTACTCCTGCTTTGCTTTAATCAGTATATTCAACCAAAATTCCATAGACGATGAAAAGGAGGCCAGAATTTGTTACAGCCAAATAAGAGTGAGCAAAAGTCGGTTTGAATCGATTAGGTCGATCGAAATTGAGTGAATTCAATTGAATCGGTTCGATTTATTCGATTTTAGTTATAATCAATTTTTTAAATCGATTAAATTGAATAATTCGATCGATTTTTAATTTTTAAAATTGATAATCGCATTAATCAAATTAACCAACTTTTTAATAATTAAAAATAAAAAAAATTGAGATAAATATTTTTATAAAATATTGTTGAAATTATTAAATTCTTTAGTAATTTAGTTTAAATGATATTATAGTTTAAATTTTATTGAATTAAATTTGTGGTTAAATAATTATTAATAATAAAATAATAATAATAAAAAAAATCGATTACTTAATCGAACCGATCGAATCGATTTTGATTGGTTCGATTATAATTAATTATTTAATAATATTCTATCAATTCGATTATTTATTAAATAAAAATTAATTAAATTAATTATTAATTTTTTTAAATCAAATCAATAATAGATCATTTACTCATCCCTACAGTCAAATGCACCCGGTGCTCCAGTCTTCATGATAAGTAACAATCAACATAGAGCTTCAATAGCCGGGTCCTAAATTAAGTTCCATTTGCCAACCAATTAACCCAAAAAATTAAAATGGATGGAGAATGGGGTGCTTCCGTCTTCATTAACTTTAGTTGGATAGTTGTTAAACTGCTACCTGGCTCCCTGTACCCAAATACTGTCCATTTCAAACTAGAAGGCATCATCCTCAATTCAATCGATGATTTTATTTCATGAGTGTTTAGCGACAATATATTTCTCAAAGACAAAATAAAATGGAACTATAGGAAGGAACGTAAAACAGGACATTGGACATAGTACTAATATCTCCCAAGTTTCAGTTATGTCTGTGACTCTGTCGTCATAAGTAAGGTGGTTTTCAGCTCATCTACTTCAACCACCTCCTTTTTCTTCCTCCTCGAAATCTAATCCTTTTGCTTTCTATTTTGTTTCGTTCATTTAATTCCAATTTCCCCATCTGCTTCTGCCTACCGTACCCCTCTCTCTTTGTCACAGTCGAAGCCATATCCAACTCCATCAACCCCAAACGAACTAAAGGTTTGCTAAAGATTTTCCCTTTTTATTAACTCTATATATCTTCCTCTTAGATCTCTCTCTTTTTTGTTATATTCACAAAAAATTTCAACTTTTTCCTCTGCAAAATACATGCACATGGCAACCTGTTTCTTCGATACTCTCAAGACTCAACCTTTCTGGGCTCTTGTTCTTTTCTCTTTGGGTTCTTTATCGATCTTGAAGTTTTCATTTGCTTTTCTCAAATGGGTCTGGGTCAATTTCCTTAGACCTGGGAAGAATCTCAAAAAATATGGCTCTTGGGGTCTTGTAACAGGACCAACCGATGGTATAGGCAAAGGTTTTGCCTTTCAGTTAGCTAGGAAAGGGCTTAATCTTGTCTTGGTGGGTCGTAATCCTGAGAAACTGAAAGATGTTACTAATTTAATCATGGCTAAGTATGGGAGGATTCAGGTCAAGACAGTTGTTGTGGACTTCACAGGTGATCTTGATGAGGGTATAAAGAAGATAAAAGAAGCGATTGAAGGATTGGATGTTGGAGTTTTGATTAATAATGTTGGGATTTCATATCCTTATGCAAGGTTTTTCCATGAGGTTGATGAGGTGCTGTTGAGGAATTTGATTAAGGTTAATGTTGAAGGTACCACTAAGGTTACTCAGGCTGTTTTGCCTGCCATGGTGAAGAGAAAGAAAGGTGCAATTGTGAATATTGGTTCTGGTGCTGCTATTGTCATCCCTTCTGATCCACTTTATGCTGTTTATGCTGCTACTAAGGCGTAAGTGTTGGCCTTTTGCAAAGTTAATTGAAGCTTGATTTATTGTTTTAGCAACTAAATGTGATCTTTTTTGGGATTGTTTCAGGTATATTGATCAATTCTCAAGGTGCCTTTATGTTGAATACAAGAATAGGGGAATTGATGTCCAGTGTCAGGTACTGTTTGCTATACTTTAGTGCTATAAAGGATATGAAACTTGAAAATTTTTAGCCCTTCTGCCTTAGTTGTTAGTAAAGGTAAATGGTGAGACTCAGATATGGATTGGTCTAAACTCTAGATCGTTATGCATTTTTCATATTTCAAAATTTAATTACTAGAATAATATCATTTCCACTTTTTCATTTGTTAGAAACAGCTGGCTATGAGTAATCAATGATTCAATATTGAATATCCTTGGCTCTTTAATAACAAATTACCACTGTATAAAAATTATAGGTAGATAATTTACTCATAAACAACTTTATTTGCTAATATATAGTGAAAAGGACTCTCTATCTGGGACATATTTTTATAATGAACGCAGGCCATGCAATCTATTTTTTCTGGAGTGAGTAGATATATATATATATATATATCTATATATCGTTTTCTTCATTCGAAAGGCATTTTATTGTTGACTGGAAATGTCCACAAGTTTGATTTTCTTGTTGAACTCACTACCAATATATGATGTTCTTTAAGCAACCTGGAATATAATATTGTTTATATTAGCTAATTTCTTTGGGAAGAAGAAAAGGTTTACTGTTTTGGACTACAAAATTTTCAATCACTTTCACTTTCTCTCTCTTTTGTATCGGTTGTTAGTATCATGCAATTGTGCTTGGAATACAAGATGGTTCCATATGTGAGGCAATTGGATAGTTTCTAAACTTATTTCTGTCATTTGTTTTTGTGTTTATGAGTTTAATCAAACTTATTGGCACCAAGCAAATTGTGAAGTCTCTATATTCTGAATAAGATGGCTGATCCGACAATGTTTTTATGCTGTTTTTATTATGGTATTAATTTAATTCCAGGAAAAGGGTACTGTCTTTCACTTATGGTGAAAGCACTCAATATCTCATACATGCACTATTGTCATCAATAGATCATCAATTCTCACATTAGATTTTAGGATACTTCATACCCCCCAACTCATATTGCCTTTCAGAGCTTAGAACTTGTTTTTGAAATTTAGTTGTTTTGATATCTGTGGATCTTAATCTCCCCTTCTTTTTATCCACCCAATTTTCTCTGGCTTCCTTCTCTCCCACTCGCTGTTTCCCCCTATGCTTATACTGACTATACTTTTCGATGAGTTGAATGATTTCTATGGTAAAGGGGATATGATTAGGATGAATAGCAAGAGTAGAATATGCTACCAAAACTGAATGCACGATACGACTATCATTTTGTTATCATGTGAATCAGCTGATGCAAATCTTTAGAAAATTACTTTCAGTGTAGGCATCTAAGGTTACTTTGTGTTCTATTCGCAAAATAGGTTGGAGTGTCAATGTTGAATTGGGGAAGTTAGTCTATCCATACATATAATCACAAGAGAAAAGTTGAATTTCTATGAATTTTAAGTATTTAGGACGGTTGACAAAAGCTGTGGCTCACAAAATTTTTTATCTTTATCAACAATACTCTGGGTAATTCAATTGTCACAAACATTGAGAGCTGCTAGACTCTGTGAATTGACTACCATTTTTCTTCTTTTTTTTTGGAGTTGGCATTCTCTGATCAATGAAGGGGTTCCTTGATGCAGGTTCCACTATATGTGGCAACCAAAATGGCGTCAATCAAAAGATCCTCTTTCTTTGTTCCATCAACAGACGGTTATGCTCAGGCAGCAATGCGCTGGATAGGCTACGAACCTCGTTGCACACCCTACTGGCCTCATTCCATCCTCTGGGGCTTGGCTTATTCACTGCCGGAGAGTGTAGTGGATACATGGCGTTTTCGGTTTTGCCTTGGCATTCGAAGGAGGGGGCAACTCAAAGATTCTAGGAAGGACTAGAAAAACACTATGTTGTGTCTGTTCTATTTCTGCTGGGATGAGCTTTTGCCTTATATTACCTTTCGATTTGCACTAGTTCTATTTTCTTTTTTTTCCCCCTATATATATATTTTAAATTTAATTATTACTCTGTTGATAAATTTGTTTTCAAGCATGGCATTGTGACCATTCCATTATGTATTTGGATGCTTTGGAAGGATAAGGATGAAAGTAGAGCAATCTGAACCTTTTCTTGCATTTTGCTTTCCTTCATATTATTCCCTTGCAAACAAATTTTGGTCCTTTGACATTTGGAGAAAATAAAACCTCGGGCCAAACTTACCCTTTTGGTTTATCATCATCGAAAAAGCTGTATTAACTTGATTTCCTCTGCATATTTAATTTTAGTTTCAAACCGGCTGATCACAAACAGTGTAAGATCCAAGTAACGGCAATCCCTACTTTTTAGCATTCAAATTCTAAATAACATGCCTTGGAGTGCCTTTTTTTTTTTTTTTTAATACTATAAATAAATCTAAACAATAGTCGCGTGTTCTTTTAATAATTAAGTAATATACCCTAAATAGGCAAAAACATTAGATTTATAATTATTGTAGTATAATTAATTAATAATTTAAAATTGTTTGAGATTTATCAAAATTTAATTAATAATTAATTAAAAACCGATGATTTATAATATTATATTAAATATGATAATTTAAATTTAATTAGTGATTTGATTACTATGATAATTAAAATACCTCATTAATCTTTAAAATGATATTAAATACTACCTACATAAACATATATTGTTATATCTTAATGGCACCAACAAGATTTCCACATGATTGTTCAATTAGTTACGTTATCATAATCAAGTATAAAAGGTAAGATTAGATAGTAAGATATTCACAACTTATTAACACTTTCTGCTATTTATTTTTTTATTCATATATTTGATTGATTTGAGCGTTAATTACATTTAAAATATCACTTTTTTTTTATTTGATAAGTGTAATGCATTTTTCATTTCAACTTTCAAAAATTACTTTATATTTGACGATCTCTGATGGAATTAAAAAATTTCGCGACTGATGCAATAATACAATCGTTTTGAATAAAAGGGCAAAAGGATGGGAGACAAGGAAAAAGAAAATGAAACAGTGAACAAAAGCTTGAAAAGGTGAAATTTCCAATTTATATGGGCTAGGTGAAAGTAGGCCAAACTCAAATCTAAAATAGGCCCATTGCCACCATTGCTTTCATTCATTTGGTAAGCGAACAGGAAGTGGTGAACTTGTCTTTATAAGAAAACAGCCCAAGTTGCAACATTCTTCTATTTCAATACATGCCGCCATATAACCGAAGCACGTTCCCTCTTCTACACAAACGAAACCCCTCTTGACCCGAAAGAACTACACTTCGTTTTATATTTAAACTCGAAACCCTTTTAAGTTCTGAGTCGCCGCCGACTTGATATGGAAATGGAAAAGCCGGATTCTGCTGCGGGTTCCGGTGGTTCCTCTGTCTTAAATACTGTTTTCATAGATACCAGCCTCGACACCCACCTGGCCATGATCGTCTCTGACTCTGACACTGTTTCTGATCTTAAAAGTAAGTCGCTTTCTCCTTTTTTACCTTCTAAATTTTGATTTATTGATACTGTTTTTGGTTACCATTGTCCAAGCGAATTTTCTTGCTTTGCTTTTTTTTTTTTTGGTTATAAATGCTATATGGAATCAGTTCCATGCGGAGCAACATTATGGGTGTGACTTTGTGAGCTCTTTTTAAATGATTTATTCAATGCCAGTTTAGAGGTTTTTTTTTTTTTTTTGTTCATATACTATTTTCATCCATTTGAGACCTCAAAGATCAAAATTTGAATGTGAAAGTCTTGAAATTTCCGCTGGAATGGACCCAAAATCGAGAGAGCTAGAGGTGTTCAAATGGATTAAAGAGTTGGTGATGTCACCAAGAGTTCCTCTAGAATGTTTGAACAGGAAGTAACGTGGCAATGTTATGATAAGAAGGTTTAGTTATGTAGTGGAAGTGATGGATTATTTCTCTTTACGCTTTATCATGCTGAAAAATAGTTACTGGCTGTTAGTTATGTAATGGAAGTCATGGATTATTTCTCTTTATGCTTTATCATGGTGAAAAATAGTTACTGGTTGTAATTGTTTAACTTCTTTTTAATCTTAATTTAAGTTAATCTAAAAAACTTCTTTTAACCAACATAAGGTGTTTTAATATTGTAGATAGAGGGTTTTTTTGGAGGCAAATCCTCATAAACCATAGTTCTTTCTCTCAAACTTTTAGTGACTGATATATCATCTTCAGTTTTAATATTAACTGCTTGTGTTTAAAGTTCTGTTTTTTAGATAATATTTTTGTGCTCCGGATTTGCAGAAAAGATACTGTATGAACACCCATTGTGCTTTCCTAAAATTGGGGAGATAAAGATTAATGCCTTAAAGGTATGGTGCTATATCTTGCATTTCTAGGTTTTTAGGGATGCTGACTGTTGATTTAAGTCCTTATGTTGAAATGGCTTCATACACATGAACAGGTAAAGCGCAGAGGATATCTTTATCACCTTTCAGATTCCATGTTTGTAAAAAGTGCTTTTGATGGAATGAGCAAAAGTTGGTTTCTTTCTGTTGATGCCTCAAGTGCAGAAGAGCATAGAGAAAATCATAATTCCCGCAAACCTGATGCTGGCAATGTTGTAGCTTGTTTTGGTATCACAAATAATAATTCTTCAGCTGATGTGGTTGATCTTCTACCTGGTGGTACTTCCAAAAGATTGTCCAACATCAATGATGCATCATTGCCAGAAGATGGGAACAAATGTCATGCGAAACAGAATTCTGCATCTCAGCAGTTTGGTTTTAGTAATTCCACCAAAGAAAATTCAGAAGATTTGCATATGGAAGTTGAACATACAGCTGATAGTAATTCCAAGGTTTTGTTCCCTGCTAACAATAAGGAGTCAAGGCCGAAGGTACAGGAGAAAGATGTTGGAGATAACAAAATATGTGAAGATCTACCAGCTTCTGTAGCTGCATCTGTTTTAAAGGAAAAGCACAAAATTAAAAAGAGAAGCAAAGATGTCATCCATGACCATGATGTTAGAAAAAATGGTGCTTTAGTTGTTGAATCTGGTAAAGATGCATTGAGTTCAGACAATGTACTCCAGGAAAATTCATTTCAGAATGGAAGAAGTGCAGTTTGGAATGACAAGAATTTGGCTGATGAATCCTGCAGGAGTTTGTCTTCTGCTAGAAATATGAGATCAGCCACTAGAAAAAGGATGGTTGATGACGGAACAAAAGTTTCAGGAGAACATTCTGAATGTGAAACTAATAAACATAAAGATGTTTCTGTCAGTGAGCAAGAATATAAGTTAACAGAAAATTCCTCGCTATCTGGGCCTGCATCAAAGAAAAAACACAAAGCCGAGAAGAAAGATGGTAATGAAAATTCTTTAATAAAAAATGGAGTTTCGATTTCTGACTTTGTTAAACAAGGCACTGGACCAGATACTACGACCTCTGATTTAGGTCAAAAACTGGAAAGCACAAGTGCTATCTTGGACCATTTAAATACTGAATCTGTAAAAGAAAACCGTTTGTTGGCTGCCAATGATAGTGGTGGGAAGAAGAAAAGGAAAAAGAGAAAATCAAACGTTACTCAAGCAGGTAGTGAAATCTCTAGTGCAAAAGATGTTAATGTGGGCACTTTTCAGGCCATAGAAGCTATTAATCACAAAGATGTGGGCAGTGAAGTTGATCCAGAATTTGTTCTTGAAAAATTTTCTACGGGTGGAGCAATTTCTGAACCTTGTCTTATCTCTTCAATGGAGATGCAAGAAGGTAGCAAAGCATGTAGAGTGCCTCGCTCAGGGGGTAAGTTTCCATTTCTGCATAAATAAGCAATTATTTAATTTTTTTCCCTTCAATTTCGACCTTACTCTTCTCTTTGTCACTTTCATGATTAGTAGAATTAAGGCAAGAAATTAACTTTTGCTAATATTCGTACTGACTTTAGTGGGTGGTGACGATATGGATGATACTGATGATGGCAACATGGAAAGCATTCAAAGCAAAAATGAAGCACCTGAACCAGATGTTGCATCAGTAATAAAGACAAGAGATTCAATTGATCAGAATGCCAGTCATGTGGACGGCCATCCTACAATTCTGCCCCAAGAGGGAATTAGTCACCATAATGACAATGGGGTTTCAGGGTATGAAAATCAGAGTGGTACATTGGAAGATAAAATCATGGAACCTAAGAAGTCTGCGAAGAAAATAAAGAAGTCAAAGAAGACTAAGGATCCAGTTGGAGGAAAAGAAGCAGTAGATGTATTACATGATAAGTGTCCTACAAGTGATATATCTCCTGCAGAGCATCCTGCCTCTGTGGGTTGTGACCATTTGAGTGACAATGCAGAGCAAGATGGCACAACTGATGTGAGATCAGATGACATAATTGGAGATGTACTGGAGTCCTTGCAGCAATGCAACAATGGTCCAGCAAATGCAGAAAATATGGTCAAGAAATCTAGGAAGAAAACTAAGAAGAAAAGTTCTAATGTGGTGGTCCCCCCAGAATTGCAAGGAAAAGATGATGTTGATCACTGGGATCCAACAGTCCCGGCTGATAACATGAGTGAGGTGAGTGCATCATCTAAATCCACAAGTAGGATTGCAAAGGTGAATTCAAGTTCAGCAGTACATTTGAAAGGGTCAGATTTGGGATCTAAGAATAATACTGGGGTTGGAATTAGCCCTGATCACACTCAGCTTGACTCATCCCAAAATACACTTAAATCCAATCATGAGGGAAGGCCTATTCAAAATGTTGTCAATGTAGATCACCCTAAAAGCGCCATAGAAGTTCCCTGTGAAAGTGAAAGGATCGAAAGCCAACACCAGCATGCAATTGTTGATTCTGGTGAGATACTCATTGATAAGGTGACCAACAAAAGAGGAGTGGAAACTGAGGTGAAAGAGAAAAAGAAGAAGAAGAAGAAGCCTGATGTACAATCATGTGGATCCAGACTTGATTTACCATCTTCCCAGATGTTAAATGGGAATCAATGTAAGGAAGCAAAAGCCCCAGCTGCCAAATCTAGCTCTGTCCAATCTCAAAGATTATCATCGAAGGTTGAACCACATAGCTCCAATGTTCAATCAAGTAAGACACTTTTGACCATTTCTGCAAGTGCAGCAAAAGAGCCTCTGCAATCTAATAAATCTGACAAAATCAATTCCATTCCCAAAGAAGCTCAAAGGCCAATTCACATCAATTCCTCAAGGGCACATATTCTTGTGGAGAAAAACAATGCTCATGCTGTATCAAGCTCTTCCTTAGAAAGATCTAAAGACACCATTAATCTAAATAAGGGAGGTAACGAGCATCGATCTCATCTGGAAATTGCAAAAGCTGCTGGAAGTAATAATGGGAAAGTTATGAACAGCTTGGCAAATAAGAAGAGCTTACTGCCTATAGCAGGTACAATATTTAAGCATAGTTCTGATAAGGATAGTTCTGATGATGAAGATGGAGCAGGCAACTCAGATGCCAGCACCAGAACTCCATCGAATAGTTCATCGACTGATGATTCAGATGATAGTGAGATGAACATTAGTTCATCACGAAATGGTAATTCATATTCTTTTGAACAAAGTTGATTATATCATGATTGTTAGTTTTTCAGTTGCATTTTATTTAATTGTGCCTTTAGAATATTTCTATTAAATGAACAAGTGCATTAAATTTCAGCTTTTTCTTTCATAATTCCACCATCTCATGTTTTTCTTTTTTTTTTTTTTTGGATAATTGAAAAAGAAATTATTTCAAATAGAAAAAGGACCATTGGTGGCTTATCCCCCATTTCCCACAAAGATCATTGTTAACAAAATTAACACCTATATTTGAAACACAGAATCTAGCCTGTACATCAGCAGCAATCAGTTGAAACACCTCTTTAGGTGACCTTCTACTAGAACGTAACCGAGAATTTCTTTCCCTTCAATTTCATTGCAGTCACGATTTCATGAAAGGTAGTCCCCCACTTCCAAACCTTCCCATCCCGCAACCTCCTCTCCATGCACCTGATTTTTTGAATCAGTTTGTTTGTCTTAATTTGTGTTTTCTTTCTAAATATTTTGAAGTGTCTAGCTGATATTGTTGGTATGCATTATAGTTACATACAGGTTATTTACCTTCTTCCACATAGTTTTGACGTGCAACCACATTTGAAGATATAACATAATTAGCATTATTCTCATACTTTTGTTGCATCATTTTATTAATTGTGAAATTTGATCCAGCTGGCATGGATGATAGTTCTTCTGTCTATGTTAAATTTTGCTATAGGATCTTATAACTCAGAAGGGGAAGAAGGTGCTGGAAGAAACAGAAAAAATCCAGGGTAAGTTGGATTAACAATGATAAATAATTTCCTTTGTTTTAAGATATAGATCTTGCATATTTGTATTTTACTGCTATTGTTAGCATATTATATGTATGGTTTAGAAACTCCTCGCTAGGTTTGAGGCTACATTTCATACGCATTGATGTTTAATCAATTTATGCATCAACAAATTTTCTCTTGCAACTTAAACTTGCTAAGTTAAGTTTGGCCTGTCACATGGTGAAAGCCAGTCTATCTTATCATCCTTTTCTTCTTGAAATTGAGCTTGACGATGAAAATTATTGATGCGAGCATTATTAATTTTAAAAGTTGTTCTCTTTGGATTGTGCGTTGGTCTTGAATTCTGGTGGTAACCAGGTCAAAGACTTGTGCAATGCATATGCAAATGTCAAGCCGCTGGAAAGAATTCTTCAAATTGGTTTTGGCAGCTTTTCTTTGTTCATTTGATAATGCCAATAAAAAAATGAAGTAAATTCTTTTTTGATCGAATAATTTCACTATGTAATGTTGTATTTGCGCCCTTTTTCACCTATAAAGTCTTCCAAATCCATTGTTGGGGCTAGAATGTATTCTAAATTCTTAGTACAGTCTAGCACTTTATCTTACTAAGAGAGCAGAAAAATTGAATACAGAAGCCCACATTCAAACAAGCACTAGGGCTAGGTTTGATTTCAAAGTTTTCCATTGTATTCTTAATCTATTATTGTCGTCTTTAATTGTGGTTTTTACTTGAGCAGACCTTGTAGCCCAAAGAGCATGCCCTTGCATGCAATCCTTCGCAATTCGAGCAGTTACAAGAAGGCCAAACTAACAGCTTCTCAAGACCTTGATAGCCAGCCTGATGAATTTGTTCCAGATAGTCAGGCAGTATAATCAAAATGTTTTTTTTTTCCTTGTTTTTATTTTTCATCTGTTATGGGGGGATTTTTGTTCTCCTTTATGATGAAGTAGGGGTCATTCTCGTCCTCTCCGATATCATTGTCAGGGACTGTTATCAGCCTCATGCCAATGTTTCGCAGTTTTATGTTATAATTAAACATTATTGGTATGCACAAGTTTTTTGATGACTGGATCTGAATTTAATTTGTGTCCTGTTTCATTTGAACTAAGGTGTGTTGATGAATTTAGTACTTTGATGTATGATATAAAAAGCAATTATGTCTATACCGAAAATTTTGAATGAAATGGGATTTACCTAGTGAGTTTATGCAACAGGTGACATCTATATTTGCAATCCCTTCTATCGCCATGGACAGACTGAAATTTGCTTTATAAAAAGCCCCTAATTAATGATATACTTATACAAACATATAGCATATTTAATTAATTGGAATTAGTCAGGGGATTCTCATGTAAATATATAATTATGATCATTTACAAACAATGATTAACATATTCTCAGTTCTTAAAACATTATAAAAAAGGGAAACATTCTTTTTAAGTTTTTCACTTTTCAGACTTACAGTTCAAATCATGGAAAGGAAAATTTGTTTTCGAGTAAAAGAGAGTTTCATTAACATATGGTGCAATTACAGGTAATTTACATGTCATCATGCCCCTAAAAAAACCCATATCTCACTGAGACCTCATCCTGTTAAGTTGGTTCAAAGCCGGTTGCAGAATGTTGTAGGCCACCCAAAGAAGAGCTGGAGCTACAACAAAAAGAAGAAGGGTACTCCTGTTGTCACTAGATGCAGCATCAGCAATCATGGCGATTTCACTGGCTGATGCTTCTGATGTTGACATGAATCCTGATGCAGCCAATCCCCCAAGTCCTAGCCCAACAATCACCCCCTTGGTGCTCCTCATTCGGTTCAGCTGATTAAGTGCTGGCTGGAGGATGTTGAAGAGTACCCAAGCTATGGCTAGGATTATGGGAAGCAATAGAGCTAGCCCCCGGTTATCTCCTTCAGCTATTTCAGCAATCTGTTGTGCGGCAAAGGCAGGATCACATGAGCTCAAGGTTGAAAAGATAGCTCCGGCAATGGTAGTGCTCGCTAGTGAAGAAGGGAGGTTCGAGTTGTCAGCTGGTTTTGACATGGTGAGGCCTTTGGGGAGGTTCTGCATGGAGAGAAGGGAGATGGGTTTTGCGGTTGGCTTTGGTGGGTTGACCATCTTGGTTGAACTGATGCTCAGGCATTTTGCATTGAGCATGGCCATTGTTGAAACGCTTGCTGCCATTTGATATTTTGCGATTCAGTTTCTGCTGCTGATCCTCAAGGGGGAGATTTTGTGGGATGGTGGGAGCTTCTGTGGAAGAGAAATAGGGTTTGATCAGTTGGCTTTTGGCATAGAGATTTGATGTGAAGCGAACCAAATAAGGTCCAATTGAATTATGTTGTCTGGATTCCTCTCTTATCTAGAGAGCGTGATTGGTGAGATACAGACCTCATGTTGTGTACCCCACCAGAGTTTTCTTATCGCCTCCGTGTCTGTCCCATTACCTGAGGTCAATTTGTGAACATTAACCCCTCCACATAATCTCATATCTACACATCTCAAACAGGCGATCGGAATAGAAACACTGATTTATATCGCTTTAATGTTTTCGAATACGTACTTTTCTTCAAAATACTATAATTTTTCAATTCAACCAACAATTCCAAACTAACCAGCTAAATCTATCAGGCATCATCATGCAAATCAACAAATGCAGAAACAGATAGGATTGGGGAAAAATTTGCGAAACGGCCTGATTATTTGATGAAAACCCTCTGGGGTGCTGCCTGCTTTTAATAGTTTTTGTCCAATGGTTCAGATACACAATAGAGCCCAAAAGCTAGGTTAAATCTGTTCATGCCCAAACTGCACGGTTGAAGATCACGCAAGCTTATCTTTGGGCTTCTCCGTTTCAACTCGGCATTGATGGAAAGCCTTGTAATGAGTTGACATCTTCGGCAACTTCACTACTAATCCTTGAAAGGGAATGGTTAGCATCTATATAGAAACACAAGCTGACATGCTGCTTATCATGGCTAGCTCATGCCTATTAATGGTAACATTCAAGATGAACTACAATTCTATTTTTGGATCTCTTCGTTTTCCGAAACTTGATTCACATAGCATCACAAAACAGCCACCTTCTCCCTAACTTGATATGAAACCCTGCTTTTAGCTAGATGGTAACAAGGCTTGTTTATATTTTGCACTTTATAATCATTTTATTTCATCTGATTTCACTCTGATCATTCTTATATTGCCACGTGAAACAAAATACTTACATTTCTTTTTCAACTATAATTTTTTTAATTTTAATCTATGAACTCTATTTTATATTTATTTACAGAAAATGTTCTTTAAAATTTTTTTGACCCGTAACTTTAAAATTATAATTCTAATAACATATCGATTAATCGAAAGTCAGTAATTTTTTTTTAAAGGATCCCCCCGTCAACATCTCCTCTTTCCCCGGATTTTTTATTTTTTATTTTTTAAAAGAATCTTTTTCCGCTCCCGTGTCTCCGCATCATCTCCCACCCGGAACACAGGAGACCAAACTTTGACAGAAACATCTGCAACTGCAACCATAAATATAGGGTTCCACATAAAAATTTAAAACAAAACAAAAAATGGCCGCTTCTCTCTCGTTCAGACCGAACATGCCCTTTTGACCTATCCTCTTTTAAATCGAACTCAATTTTCCGGTTTTCCCGCTCAAAGAAGTGGTCTTCACGGCTCTTTATCCGTAACCAAATTCGGTTCAAACCGGGACTCTGCCCGACCCGGATGCTTCCGAGGGTGTCAGGGCTGTTTACTAGAGATGAAAGCCTTCTCTATACGATTCCCGACGCTGTCGTTTCGTCTTCCGAAACTGTTACTACGACCACCACTACTACTAAACAAAACAATCATCGGCTTTCGGGAAAAACCAATTCCATGGAAACTATTTTGAAGGTAATTAAAAAAGGTTTTTTTTTGTTCCTTTATAAAGTTCTGGTAATGAATTGTTGTCGTTTGGGTTGAATTCATTCAGGTTTTAAAAGATGGTTTATTGGCTTTGCATGTTTTGTACGCTTATGGTTTTGCTGTTGTACTCCTGACTGTGCTTGTTAACGCTACCACATTTCTTTGACTAGGAAGCAGGTTTGTTGTTTGAGACAAAACCAAACAAAGCAATAGAAACAAATTAGGATAAGAGGAGTTCATTCCCCCTTCAATAATTGTTTGTTTATTTTTTGGATTATTTTTTTAATTTTAAATTAATTTATTTCATACAGAAAATACTTGTTTTTGTTTTGTGATTATATTTGCAGTTTTTGTTCTTGCGCACAGGTAGAATCAGCAATGGCCATGCTTTCGTTGCAGCCTCAAATAAAGGCTATTCAGCAGAAATTGCTGGAGGTCAGGTGAAATTTTGCATGTTGTTTAAGCAGGAATGACTCTATTGTTTTGGTTAATATGGCTAAGGAGACTGACTCATAATTCTAGTTGTTAGTTATGATAAATGAAATAGATGCTCATTGCTTTAAAGGCGAAAGAAGAAAGAAAGAAAAAAAGAGAGGATATTAATTGAACGTTTTCAGCTTCGATTTGTTTTGATGTAGTTAATTTGGTATGTCGAAGCCATTTTAATCTTTGAGCTACTTTTCTTTTATACTTTCAGGAGAGAATTCAACTTGAAACTGCTCAATTATGTAAACTAGCTGGGATAAACCCATTAGCAGGTACTCATGATACATTTTATTCACATCACAATGCCTTACTAATTTCATTAACTTAATAGATTCCGCATAATCCGCCTTCTGTTTTAAATTTCTAAAGATTTTGAAATCCACATACTTTATTTTACTTATTTTCCAGTATTTTCGTTTCTATTTCAATTATGTTCAATCTCTATTATTGGGCTTTAATAGAGTTTTGGCCTCGTATATGTCTGTGTCAAAATTTCAAATCTTCGAATAGGGAACTAAGGTTATGTTTGGTGCATAGGACGATGAATAAGATAATATGATAATCATTTTATATTATGTTTGGTTTGTATTTAATTGAAAGAGATAAGATTACAAGAACGATTATTATCCTTTTGTTATTGGAGATTCAATCTTCCTAACGTAGAGAGGATTATTTTTAATTCATGGGATTAAACTTACATGTCCTATTAAACTCTTAAAAATTACATAAATAATTTATATTATAAACTTTGAGGAAGGATAATTTTGACTAATAAATAAATTATCTTATCTTAATTCTTGCACACATCAAATATAAGGTAGGATGATATTATTTAATCTAATCTTATTCATAATATCATCTTATCATATCTTATCATAATTTTATGTACCAAACATGACCTTAATGATAGTAAATTGAATACTACTATCTTTTGTTTTGCTGCCCTTTTGGCCCTTGGATGGTCAGATACGTTTGCATATCTCATCACAGTACATGTCTGTCCAAATCATGCAATCAGCACAGGTCAGTCATTCCACCATTAACTAGCATGGTTGTATGTCAGTTCTTTTAGCAATGATGGAAGTTCCTACTAAAATCCCCAATTCAAACTAATTCTTTTGTTAAAATACAATTTATTAATATTGCGAGAGATAGTTATTTTTAATGTCCCTTTACTTTGTTTGTATATGGCATTCCTCAAAAAATGTTGACTAGAGTGTGAGAAACATGATAATTTGCAGAGGCTCAATGTTTTTCTAGTTTGCATATTTAAGTTATCTGTAAATAACTGACTTGGATATTGAGGAATTACCTCTTTTACATACAATACACTCAAATGTCTAATTTTAAGGAGAAAAAGATCTTAAATCTAAGTAAATTTATAATCTTAGCCATAACAACATGTAGCCATTTGATCTTTATGACTTTTTCCATGTAAAATTTATGTGGGAAATTTTCTCACCATTTTTCTTCTTGATGATTCGATTTTTTCTAATCACGATGTTGCTTGATTTATTGTCTCATTTTGTTGGGAGAAGTTGCCAAGTATTATTTCTTATATAAATACTTCTAATTGTTGCTTACTTATTTTCATCCGACTTTTAGATGACTTAGGAAGTTTTCAGCTTCATGATGTATAAATTACTTAAATTCAGACTATAACTGATTTCCTATTATAATTTTTTTTATTTTTACTTTTCTTAGAGCAATGATTCAAACATGAAAAGCTCTCAAGTCCTGACGAACTTCCTCTAATGATTGGTTATTTTGCTCTTTCAGCTCCTTCTGGTCTAAGTCTATATTGGTGAGCAGATGCAAAGCCCTTCCTTTCTAAATTATTATAAGATACACCACTTTATGTTGCATTGCTTTTTGTAATCCTTCCCTATCAAAACCTTGAATGTGTTTCCTAACCCTAATTATGCATTTGCAGGTTCACAAATAACATATTAAGTACAGCACAACAAGTATGGCTTCAAAAGTTAGGGGAGGCAAAGGATCCTGCAGAGCAACTTAATGATGATATCGTCAAGGAAGAGCAAGGCTGGCTTCAGAAGTCTCTCTCTGAATTGAATTCCATCAGAAAAAAGGCCAAATAAGAAGAAAAGTTGACACCAGAGGGGCTGCACCCTGGTGAAAGGTACTGTTCAATTTGCTGACTTGGAATGGCCTTTCTTGTACTTGTTGTTGCTCATAGACCTTATGTTTGATATCTTCCTGATTTAAACAGCTAAAGGAGCAATAGGCGAGAAGAAGAAAGCAAAGAGAAGAAGAAAGGAGGAAAGCTCAAGTGGCAGCACCTAAAGATGATCAATTAACAAATGAGGGGCATAAGATAGAGGGTACCATCTTTGATAAGGAAAATGGTGCTGGAGCCGGCTTAATTACCAGAAAGAATGAGAAATATCAAATGTGGGAAAATACTTATTTACAGTTGGTTGTAATAAATAATATTTATATTTGTATATCTAGAATTAAGTATTTGTATCTCTAGAATTAAAGACAGAAAATTAAGATAGACAATTCTTCAATTATAGGATCAGTTTTAAGAAAATTTGGTTTCCTAGTTTACCTACTAGTTAGTTGTATATAAACCTAAGGTGCTTGTATAATTCTTAAGAGCATTTTTCAAATTCGTTTAGTTTTACTCTTAGTTCTTCATACATTTTTATTTTTTTAGTTTTTTCCACATGGTATTAGAACATTAGGTTCTTCTTGAGAAGCAAAATTTGCAGCTTTCATTGCTTACTTTTATTTTAGGTCTTCATTGCCAAATCCTATTAAGGCCTTCATAGCCATTTTATTTTTCCCTTCTTTAGCTTTAGTTGCTAAAAGTTATTTCTAGTTATATCTTAAGATTTGTTTCAATTCAACAAAAGATAACAATGTCAAAGATAATAGAATTTACTATCACTACCACCCGATTTGAAAAAATGTCAATTGGTAAAACCGTTGGAATACTACAAATGTCTTGAGAACAAAGAAAGTTGAGACAAATAAGAGATTGAAAAGTTGAAAAGCCTATTAAAAACCTTTGAAAAGCTTACTGGGATGTGTTCCTTAGGTAAAGTCTTAAGTTTAGGTAAAGTTTTTGATTTTCATTGATTAAATGTCCCAGTAAGCTATTATGAGTTTCTTGGGTTCATTAACTTTAGAGCCCATAAATCAACATGAACAACATTTTTTACAGAAGTTTAGTATATATACCCTGTGTCATAGTGATAAGAAAATTGTTGTTGTACATTGTTCACTTACTACAATGACAAGATTATGAGATATTTAAATCAATCCCTCATTTGTTCTAAAAAATATTTTTCATGTTTTTAGATTATCTACTAATCTGATATCTATACATAAACTTACTAGAGACATGAACTACTAAAGTGACTTTTTATCCTTCCTATTGTGAATTTTTGGACTAAAGTTTGAGAAAAAGGATTAGACTTGCTAAAGAAAAGAACGGACTATACTATCTTAAGACATCAAATAATACAAGTAATATTAAAAATAATTTACCTTTGTCATTTCTATATGAAAAAAATCTTCTAATAAAGGCAAAATCTAATTTTATCACTTTCATTTTAGACATCTTTTCTTTGGAACTTTGAAAAACATGTTTCTTTTTTTGTTCAAAGGATTAAATGTTAAAAATTTTTATTGTGATATTTGTGAACTTGCAAAGCATAAATGTGTGTCTTTTTCAATTAGTAACAAAAGGAGTTATACCCCTTTTTACTTGATTCATAGTGATATATGAGATCCCTTTACAATTTTTAGTATTTCTAGTGCAAGGTGATTTGTTTTTTTCATAGATGATTGTACAAAAATTTATTGGATATTTTTACTTAAATCTAAATTAGATGGGAATAATGTGTTTTTAAGTTTTCAAAACATGATCCAAAATCAATTTAGAGTGAAATCAAGAGATTTAGGTTTGATAATATAAGTGACTATTTCAACTAGAGTTTATTTGCCTATTTTAAAAAAAAAAAAATTATTCATAAGTCATCTTATGTTAATACTCCTTAGTAGAAAGGACTGACAAAAAGAAAAACGGTCATTTACTAGCCACAACTTAAGCTTTATTTTTTAAAGCAAACTTACCCAAATCATAATGGGGGAAAATTGTTCTTACTGCTATATACATTATAAATAAGTTACCTTCAAGGGTTTTTAGATTTAAAACTTCTGTAAAACTACTCTCATAATTCTATCACAATTTTAATACCACAAATAATCTCATACTTAGAATATTTGGTTGTACATCATTTGTTTATGTTCACAGTCATAATAGGGGAAAGTTGGATCTTAGAGTAGTTAAATGAATTTTTGTGGGGTATTCCTCAACTCAGAAAGGGTATAAGTGCTATCATCATTTTACTAAAAAATTTTATGTGTTTGTAGATGTTACTTTTGAAGAAAATAAATCATTTTTTACTCAACCTTATCTTTAAGGGGAGCATCATTCATAAAAGATAAAGATAAAGACTTCTTTTTGCTTGACTTGTATTCCTCTTCAATATTTTCACCCATTAATTTTTTTGAGTCTAAACCTACTGTTTCCTCCTCAACATTTTCACTCATTAATTCTTCTGAGTCTAAACATGTTTCTTCTGAGTCCAAGTCAAATATTGAATTTGAATCTGAACACATTTCAAACATAAAAAATATGACAAAGGATAATATTGTTCTTGATTCTATGAAGCAATTACAGATATACTTAAGAAGGAAAGTTTCAGCTCCTAAACTGGTGCAAGTTCAAGAACCTGATCCTAAGTTTGAAAATGAGGTAATTACAGTCTTTGACTCTATTTTTCAAAATGAACATGAATCTCTTAAAACTATAACTAGTGATTATGATCTACCTATTGCCATTAGGAAAGGAACCAGAAAATATAATAAGCATCCACTACACCAAATTTCAAATTTTGTGTCATTTGAAAAATTTTCACCATTTCACAAAATTTTCTTATGAGCCTAAATACTATTTATATTCTAATTACATTATCCAAGACATTATCTAGTGAGAAATGGAGGCAAGTCATGAAAAATGAAATAAAGGCATTAGAGAAAAATAATACATGGGAACTAGTAAAGTTGCTCAAAGGAAAAAATCGAGTTGGGTTTAAATGGATTTTCACTATAAATATAAGGTAGATGGTATTATTGAAAGGTATAAAATCAGGTTGTTGGCTAAGGACTATACTCAAACTTATGGAGTGGATTATCAGAAAACTTTTACTCCAGTTGCCAAGATGAATACAGTTAGTATTTTGTTATCTTTGGCTGTAAATTACAATTGGTAGCTTCAATAATTTAATGTAAATAACGTTTTTCTACATGGTGATTTGGAAAAAGAAATATATATGAAGGTCTCATAGGGATTTAGAGGTCATCTAGAAGCAAACAAAGTTTGTAAGTTGAAAAAAGGCTTTATATGGCTTTAAATAATTTCCTAGGGCTTAGTTCAGGAGATTTGTCAAAATGATGCTAGCAATTGGATATAAGCAGAGTAAAAAAGATCATACACTGTTTATCAAGTACTCGAATTTAGGGAGAGTCATAGTTTTATTAGTGTATGTTGATGATATAATTGTAACTGAAAATGATGAAAATGAGAGAGAATCTCTAAAACAATGTTTGACTCGAGAATTTGATATCAAAGAGATAGGAAGATTGAAGTACTTCCTAAGAATTGAAGTAGCTCACTCACGGAATGGTATTTTCATCTCACAACAGAAATATGTGATCTTTTGAAGAAAATTAGGAAGCTCGAATGTAAACTTGCAAATACCTCTATAGATCCTAATCATAAACTTAGAGAAGCTAATGAAGATATTGGTATAGATAAAGAGATGTACTAGAGATTAGTTGGAAGACTTATTTATCTCTCACATTTCAGACTTGATATAACATATGCTATGAGCGTGATAAGTCAATTTATGCATAGCCCTAAAAAAGTGCACCTATAAGCTGTCTACCGTGTGTTACGCTATTTGAAGACTAATCTTAGGTGAGATATCTTGATAAAAAAAATTAGGATTAGTTCTAAAGGCATATATAAATGCGGATTATGCAAGTTTGGTAACTGATAAAAGATTTACCTCAAGTTACTGCACTTTCTTAGGTGTTAATCTTGTAACTTAGAAGAGTAAAAAACATAATGTGATAGCAAGATGTTGGAACAGAGTTTAGAGCAATAGCTCAAGGAATTTGTGTACTACTATGATTAAAAATTATCTTAGAAGATTGAAGATAAAGTGATATGGACAAATGAGACTTTACTGTGATAACAAGTTTGCAATAAGCATTGCACACAATCCTATGTAACATGACAGAACAAAACACATTAAAGTAGACCGACACTTCATAAAGGAGAAACTAGACAGTGGGTTGATTTATACACCGTATGTATCAAGCAAGGGTTAACTTGCAGATGTGTTACAGGTCTCAGTAGTGCAACATTTCAAGAATTTATTTCCAAGTTGGGAATGAAAAACACTTATTCACCAGCTTGAAAGAGAGTGTGAGAAAACATTTATTTGCACCTGGTTATAATATTGTAATCTGTAATATTTATATTTGTATCCCTAAAATCCCTAGAATTAAGGATAAAAAATTAAGATAGACAATCCCTCAATTATAGGATCAGTTTTAAGAAAATTTAATTTCGTAATTTACCCATTAATTAGTTGTATATAAACTTAAGGTGCTTGTATAATTCATAAAAATAATTTTTTAATATACATTCAGTTTTACTCTTAATTCTCTGCATAGTTTTATTTTTTAGTTTTTTCACGTCAAATTGTGGTAGGCCAAGGTTCCTCCAATGTAGGAGTTGTGAATGGTGACCTCTCTAGTGAGGACCTAAAGGAAGATCAAAAGAAGGCTTCCTCGTTTAGCAAGAACAGTGAATCTTTGGAACATCTAGAGAAGGTATAAAGCTGTTGATTCACTAAAATTCTTGAATCTTGTTTGCTATTTCCTTCTCATAGAATGAAAATTACTAAAAGTTCTTGGCTGCTGAATTGCAAGTTGGTCACAAAATTTTGTTTCTTATGGAGAAACCTTAGAATTTAGTTATTCAGGAAAAAAATGCAGTTAAAGTATGTTAATAGCTGGGGCAATCTAATGTTTAGGTCTCCAGTTGAATGTGACTTGTATTCTGCCATCAATGCATGTTCAATCAACTTGAATCATAATTTTACGGTATTTTGGGTTCATCCCTCAATTGTGTCTCCTTCTTGGATCTTCTATATCCAGATCAGAGTTCACAATTGAATATAATAGCCTCCTCACCCTAATTGTTATTATTCTTTTCGTTTCATTGTTTTGTAATGGGTGTGAACTGCCTTATCCTTCCACTCTCCCATCCTTGCTTTATTGATTGAACATAGGATAGGATTCACATTTACTCGTCCTTTAGCATAAATCTTAAGTGGAAGAACTGGATACGAGAAAAGACCTTTTTTGTTATTTTTGTTGTTAATCATTGTTCATTTTCATTAAATATTTTTTAATAAGTTATCTAATTATTTCGAAATTCACTGTATCTTAGGAAACGGTTTTGAAGTATGCACTAGTACAGCCGCTATAGAAAACAAATATTCTGAAGAATACATGCAGGAAGACAGGAGGGCGTGACAGAAAAAGGAGAAACATGGTAGTGATGAAGTCAGGATCTCAAGTCAATCAAAAGCGAGAGGACCAGTTGATTTGCCTGTTAAATTGGATGCAGGGAGAAGAATGATACTCCTGGCACCATCGAGAGTCTGTGCAGCTCATCAACCATTATTAATATGATCGAAATCGAGTGTCTTTGGGCTTGATGGCATTTCTCTAGATGGAGGGTATGTTGCCCTTTGGTGATATCTGGTTTGTACGTGACTCTTTTGCAGAAACAGCTCAACAAGCAAAATACAGGACAACATAAGATTTTGGAGGTTTCACATTATACCTTTTGTAACTTGTAAGAGCTCAAACATGACTGATTCGTTCAAATGATTATTCTGTACAAGTTTAATAATAAATAAAAGTTCTGTTTTTGCAATTTTCTATGCGCACGCATGTTTGAATAATTTGATATTAGTATTCAAAAAACAATGCTACTAATGACAACTGCTTGGTAAAAGCCCTCGAGTTCATATATTTGATTGCAGGACAGCTGGAGTTGCTCCATTCGAACTAGCACGTGTTGTATAAGTTCATTCATATGACCTTTTTCTTACAAAGAAATCTCGAAAAAAGAAGAAAACAAACATTGAATGAGACGAGACTTGTAGGCCTTGTCCTTGCGCATAGAGGTTTCCCACGTACCTGTTGTAACTAAATCTATGGATAATTCATGTGCCCTTGCTCAATTGGACGTTCTCGGGTTTTTTGTGAGCTTGGTCGAAGACCCACTTAACCTTCAAACTGAAAAAGGCTTAATCAACCGATGCTGAATACAATTGCCCTTCTCCGGAGACTTTTAAGACGACAAAGGAGGTCAGAAAATCAAAAGAAATTGGGTGCCTTGGCGTATACGATGAGCACATTTTTACACATCTTTTTAGTTGCATGGAAGTTCTACTTACAGGCACGACAAGGAAGGTCTCAGATTCAATTTTCTTGAGGCTTGGTAATGGTCCCTCATTTCACTTTCAGGGTTTATTAAACGGTCACAATTGCAAAATTCTAATATGTAATTCGATGAAAAACAGCATAGCATCTTCTATTTAAAGCTGGCAATATAAATTCAGACATGATTTTAATTAATTCAGACAATTATTTTTAAAACGTAATATTTAATAAATATATGTTTAAATCTTGATATTTACAATTTTTTTTTTATTTTCAAATTACAACTTCCTTAATGAATAAAAAATTGATTAGTTGACTATGTCTTGTAAAAAATGGAACTTTATAATTTTTTCTGTCCCCAATAATTCAAAATGTATAAATAAATTATAGCTGTCCGATAATCAAATGTACGTCAATTTTATTTTATTTTTGGTAATATGATTAGGACGTATTTTTCTGATTATCACAAGAATATATTTGCAAGTAATGGAAATAAATCCCAAAAAATCCACATGAATCCTTTGAGGTAAACCCAAATAAGAAAATTCCTTTGGTAATGCCATAGTGAGCTCTAGTGATCATTCCAATCAGAACCGACCTTTGATCATGGAGCATCCAGGGTTTTATTTTTGTCATCATGCATGTCACAAATCCATTTTCTTTCTCTTCATTGATTAACCACCAATTTAACTGCTTTTTTATTAAAAAAATTGTTTCTTAAAAAAATGTCAAAGGGATTTATAAAGATTAGTAATTTATTCAGCTCCTTTGCAATTGTTGCATGGACATATTACACATGCACATACTGAAGTAAAGATTAAGGTTTTCAGAAGAAGACATTGTTGCAGTATATTTTTAACATAACTTAGTTATTTTTATTAAAAAAAAAAAACTTGCAAATAATGGATGATGAAGCTGACCCCGTTGACCCCTCATCATTGTTTTAGTATTACAAACAGGCAAATACTAAAACAAAACTAGACCAGTAATCTTCAGACAAGTACTTGATCACATATATTCTCCCCCATCCAGGTTTCTGATGTGATAATGTTTACAGAAGATGCTCGATGAAGTGTTTAAAGAATAAATATATAACTCCTATTAGTTTATTGTTTGAAGCACTATAAATCCTAGTGAGGTATTTTGGCTTATTTAATATTTTATGCTAAATTAAAGATCAATGTAAAATCTGATAATAGAATATTGTATTTTTAATTTTAATAACTAAAGCTTAACTTTTGATAATATCAAGTAAAAAAATCAATAACAAATAAATTTAATATTTTATTTTCCTTGGTTAAGTGTAAACGGATTTCTAAGTTTGACTAGTATTATTATTGTTTTGAGCAAGCTAAAGTGAGAAAGGAAGAGAAATAATTTCCTGTGTCTGCATAGTAAAAATTTGGCAAGAATTACTAGGTAAAAATTAAGTCCTTCTCTTTTACGGCATGCATTCAAGTACATCAAACTCATTTTATCTGCCTTTCAAGGAAGTTGCAGCATCATGAGAAAATTTTTTTCCCAAACAAATGACAGCTAATGAAGATAGGTATGGTTTTTTTCTAACACATGGCACATTGATGCCAGGGTCCACTCAAAGTGTTTAACCAGGCTTTAAGTTCAAAACCCATTTTTGTTTAATTTAGACCTTATTTGAAAGGTTAGCGGAATAGGTTTTTTATAACTTCACTGTGGGTGTTAGAATGTACTTGATGGTTGAAGTCTGGGTTCCATACTAATTGATTAAGAGCTAAGACCAGACCCAGAGTCTAGACCTGATGTCACCAATTAGTAGCCTTGATAATACTAGTGTTTTGAAAGACAAAATGATAGGAGAAGTCAAAATTGGCTGATAAGTATCTGAAGATTCATGAGCATTTTTTTTTTGTTCTGATGTGAAAAGTTCTACTTGTATAGTTAATCTGAAATCCTGAAACTTACTCTAAATCCAAGCCTGATCAACAAGTTAAGGGGTACAACAGTATGTAGCAGAGTACTATCCAAAATTCCAAAAGTTAGATGCTTCCAAATATCATAGAAATGAATCAGAAAGTGAACCAGAGAAAATACCAAGACTGATAAGAGAAGTCCATGTCCTTTTCGCACCATAAACCTTTGCAAAATTCCAAAGTTTTGGTTTGCCAAACGATTTTTCACCTTGGAAACTTCATGGTAACTCCAATTTAACAGCAAAAGAGAAAAAAGGGTCCCCTGTTTTTGTTCACCACCTCTTCGGCTCTCTTATCAATTATCATCTTTGAGAGAAAAAAATTTACCCCCTCAGATTTCGTTGAACCAGAGGTTGTGGTCAGCTGCCATAGTTTACAGGAAACTGACGTGTAAAAATTGTCTCAGGAAGTATAAATTTATGGGGGTGAAATGTGTAGCAAGAAAGACACCTCATCGCTTTGAAAAACGTATAGATATGGAGAAGAAGGGAGGCTTTCACCTCTTTCTTTGAAAAATCACACACCAATAAAGCTGAAAAAGAAAAAAAAAAGAAGAAATTCTCTACTTTTTTTCAAAAAAAAAATTTCCTTTCTAAAATCCCAACCACAATCCATTTCTCAAGTCCCTTCAGATAAAACAGAGCAGAGACTCTGATTAGATATACCCACTTTCCTGTTCTTCCAATTTGATCTAAAATTTTGCAGTTTTCTTATTTTTGGGTGGGAATTCTGTTCAATTATTGACGGATGCAGATGGATTTTGAGGAATCGTGGGTCTTTCTGATATGTAATTTCATCTCTATGTTATACTGCCTTGATCTATAATTATCATATTATAGAATTAGAGAAAAAAAAGTTATTAAACACGTAATTTTGCTCTATTCTTTTTGTTCTTTGGATTCTCCATTTTTCTGCTTCTGATGGTTACGTGATCGAGTGTACTTTGTCAATTTTGATTATCTGAAGGTTTTGATCATCTGGGTTTCTCAATAAGATGGATTATTATCAAGAAAATATATCCCCTGTTTTTTGATCGGTGGATGTTGATTTTGCTTGCCTGGTTAATTTTTGATCAGGTCAATGATCAATCTGACCTTTTCTTAGGCAGTTTACGTGAACTTGAGTGTCTCCTCCTAGAATTCTTTGCTTTTCTGGGTTTTCTTTTGAGTGTGGAATATGCTTTTCATGGAGGACTAGTATTCTTGTTTTCAAAGTTTTCTTCTTTCGGCGTTTCCTCCTTCAATTGCGTGGTTTAAAATTTCTGTTTTTCGATCATCTATACGAGCTTTTCTGCTACAGTTTTTGCCGTTTTGGTGTCTCTGTGCTTGGCCATTTTGGCTTTCCGTTCACAATTTGGATCATTCCACCTGGTCTATTTCTGTCGGCTGTGTGTAAATAATTGGATGATCGGACTCTGCATAAATATTTGGCTTTGATCATCTCATTCTCAGCCTCTCCTATTGGATAACGTTGCTCACGTGGTTTAAAAAATACCCTTTGATTTGTGGTGTAAAATGTTTTTCTTTTTTCTTGTTGTGATATAAGGAGTTTTTATGAGAATCTCTTTTCGTTTTCTATTTGTAGGTTTGAGACTTGAAGTTTGCTGAATCAATCCATTATTTAAGGTAGATATTGTTGGCACTTGTAGATTGAACCAATAAGTCAACAAAGTTTTAGTATTTAGGAAGTAGTTTGGATCATTGTACCCCTCATTGTCAGAAATTTATATCATCTCATTGCCAAGGTTGGGCACTGCAAAACTTGGACAGTGCCCATGGATGCCACAACAAGCGGAACCCCAACTATTCAGTACCATAACATACCTGATCAACCAATTACTGCTATTGTTGCTGCTCCTGTACCCACATTTCAGCGACAAGTACGTCATTGCTTTGGGGACTCCACTCCTGGAGAATTCCCCTTAGCTGCCAATCCTTCTATTGTTCTTCATGTCCTTACTGCGTGTAATTTGGACCCTCAAGATCTTGCAAAACTAGAGGCAAGTGGGTTTTTTCTTAACTTTCTGAAAGTGAAGCTCCTTTTGAGTGTTAGAATTGATAATGTTGGCTGATTTGATTTTGTAAACATGTGTTCCAGGCAACATGCTCCTTCTTTAGGCAGCCAGCAAACTTTGCCCCTGATTATAAATTGTCCATATCGGAGCTTGCTGCTCTTGACATGTGCCAAAAGAGAGCTATATTTAAGCCAATGACTGACGAAGAACGTCAAAGTTTTAAGCAAAAATGTGGGGGATCGTGGAAATTGGTCCTCAGGTTTCTGCTATCTGGGGAAGCGTGTTGCAGGAGGGAGAAATCACAGGCAATTGCAGGGCCTGGTCACAGCATTGCTGTGACATCAAAAGGAGTAGTTTACTCTTTTGGCTCTAATAGTTCCGGACAGTTAGGACATGGCACTACTGAAGATGATTGGCGGCCTCAGCAAATAAGGTTGCCAATATTTTTATCCCTTTATGCGTGGTTCTGTAAAAGTATAAATGCAAAGAGTTAATGCAACTCCATTATATTGTAGATCTCTGCAAGGCATTCGAATTATCCAAGCAGCAGCTGGGGCTGGCAGGACAATGCTGATTAGTGATGCTGGGAGAGTTTATGCCTTTGGAAAGGATTCCTTTGGTGAAGCAGAATATGGGGTTCAAGGAACTAAACTAGTTTCAACTCCGCAGCCTATTGAGTCTTTGAAAGACATATTTGTGGTGCAGGCTGCAATTGGAAACTTTTTCTCAGCTGTTTTGTCCAGAGAGGGCAGAGTTTACACATTCTCTTGGGGCAAGGATAGCAAGCTTGGTCACCAAACTGAGCCAAATGATGTGGAGCCCCGGCCTCTTTTGGGGGCATTAGAGAACATACCTGTTGTGCAAATTGCAGCTGGATATTGCTACCTTCTTTGCCTAGCTTGTCAACCAAGTGGCATGTTAGTTCATCCGAATGCCTTTTAAACTGGCTCCTTAAATTTATTTTTAAACTGGCATGCAAACTGTTCTTATCATAAACTAAAAATCATCTTCACATTAGAGGGCATCTAATAGAAGCATACTTCTGTTTCCTTCCATATTTTAGGAAAACTCTCATATCTGAATTAGCTTTCAGAAAGGTTTGATGACTTACCATCATAAATCTTTGAAATAATGAATGACAGTCCTGAATTCTGAAATTCTTATAGTATTTGTCTTTTCTAGAATCTCAAACTACATCCATCTTGTTGTTCCATATATAGGCACATGTCATTATTTGATCATTGGAATGTGTTTTAGGAATAATTACTTAGTGGTGTGCCCTTCTTTTGGAATCATTAGGTCAGTGTACTCTGTCGGGTGTGGCTTGGGCGGAAAGCTTGGACATGGGTCAAGAACTGATGAAAAGTACCCTCGATTAATTGAACAATTTCAACTTTTGAACCTTCAGCCAATGGTGGTTGCTTCTGGTGCTTGGCATGCAGCTGTTGTGGGTCGGGATGGAAGGGTTTGCACCTGGGGTTGGGGACGTTATGGGTGCTTAGGTCATGGAAATGAAGAGTGTGAATCAGTTCCTAAGGTGGTAGAAGCATTAAGCAAGGTCAAAGCTGTTCATGTTGCTACAGGGGACTATACAACCTTTGTGGTATCTGATGATGGTGCTGTTTACTCTTTTGGTTGTGGGGAATCTGCTAGCTTAGGACATAATACTGCCGCTGAAGGACAGGTTTGAACTTCCCTTCCCTTCTAATATTTCATACTATTTCACTATTTTCTAATAATAGTATGCACATTGGATGATTCCTGAAATAATTTTTGAGAAGGAAAATGATATTAACCATTTAGATTAGTTTCAAAGCTGCAATGCATTTTCTATGTAGTTCCTTGTAGTTTCTTGTAATATACTTGTGTCACGGACCTAAGAAAGAGTCCTGAATCTCATATCGAACATAATAGGAGTGTCACTGGAATATAAAAGGGTTCACACTATCTCTTCCTTGTGAGGTGCCTTTTATAGGATAAAACCGTGAGGCCAGGACGGTCAGAACGGACAATATCTCACAAGGGTGTGAATCGTAGCGGTTAGGCTGATCTGGGACGCTGGATGAGTGGATGCCCGAGTTCCGGAGCCGCGCGGGTTCGGAGCCTAAGTCTCGACCTGTGACAAGTGGTATCAGAGTCAGCCCTAAACCGTTCGATTCACGTCAAGCTCCTCGAGGGAGGTAGGCAGGGTGACTAGCCTCTGTGGCGAGGGCATCACGAGGTTGGGTGGGGGAGAATGTCACGGACCTAAAGAAGAATCATGAATCCCACATCGAACATAATAGGAGGGTTACTGGGGTATAAAAGTGTTCACACCATCTCTTCCTTATAAGGTGTTTTTTGTAGAATAAAACCGTGAGACAGAGGGGTTAGAGCGGACAATACCTCACAAAGGTGTGAACCGTGGCGGTTAGGCTGATCTGAGACGCCGGATGAGTAGATGCTCGGGTCCCGGAGCCACGCGGATTCGGAGCTTAAGTCTCGACCCGTAACACTTGCATATGCCTCGGAGGGCATTTATGGTTTAACCTGTAGAGAAGCATTTCTTTTTCCTATTGTCCCCATTGAGTGTGATCTGTTTGTTTCCAAATACTGAAATAAACACACCATTATGATATGCAATGTCGCTTCCTCTTAACGTTGTTTTGAGAGGTCAACTTTAGAAAGTTCTAGATTTCAAAAGAAGTGATGCAGTGAAGCCACAGCATCTGATGTGGATTCATCAAGTCAGCCGCTGTCCTTGAAGAATTGGCATTGTCCTTGTCATGCACATACTAGTTTTAATTGGACACTGATATTAGTATAACAATGTTGTCCTTGAACATGATAAGGGGGCATATGAATTCATTGAGTGACCAAAAGTGTTAAAAAAAAAAAAATTTATTTGTAACCCAAAACTTAGCTCAATTGGTTCATATTGCTACTCTTTAAGAGGTGGTATCTAATAAGTCTAGGGTTCAAATTCCAGTATCTGCAACCCCTTCTCTTATTCCTACACTGCTGCTTCTTTTGTACCAAAATATGTTCATCCAGTCATTATGGTTTATTGTTTATCTGGCAGGAAAACAGACATGCTAATGTGTTGAGCCCAGAACTGGTAACGTCATTGAAGCAAGTGAATGAACGGGTGTTGCAGATCAGCCTTACAAACTCCATATACTGGAATGCCCATACATTTGCACTCACTGAATCAGGGAAGCTTTATGCATTTGGTGCAGGAGACAAAGGTCAGCTAGGCATAGAGCTAGTTAACAATCAGACAGAAAGGGGAAACCCCGAACGGGTTGATATTGATCTCAATTAGGAATTCTATGGTTTCCCCTCCCATCTCTTACACCATGTCATCCTTTAGCTTATCAAATCACACACTGGATTTGGTGTTTAGATTTCCTTGTTTAGTTTGTAAATAGAAACAAACAAAAAAAAAATGGTCGATTTCCCAAGAAAATAGTTAGCACATAGGCCTTAAGTTGTTAATAGTTGAAACATCTGTTAAGGTTCATTGATTACTTATTTATGTTGAATTGCATTCTTGAATCCACTGATATTCAACTGTTTTAGTTGATAGCCAATGGACACTGGAGCAGTTTCAGACTTTTGAGGTCCATTTGGGAGGTTCAGTCATAAATCACGCTCTCTGGTGCAGTGAGAGGCTTCCAGTCGGGCTCCCAAATGGAGCCTTGATCAAAGGGCCAACTTCCATACAGCTAATGAAATGTTCCACTTCTCCCTTCTTCCTGTAAGATTTGTGGCAAAATCATTGGAAGGGTCTCTTTTATATGGTAAGTTTAGAATAATATCAAGGGATGTGAATTTTTCCTACCAAAACATAAAGGTTTAAAATTGGCCCACTGCCTTCTGCAATTATTTTATATTTGCTTATTGAAAAGTGATAAATGATAAAAAAAAATTATGAGTAATTGAAAATTAATTTTAATATTTACTCTATTTCGTTAAAAATAAAAGGTTTAGATTTGAAAACAAAAAAAAAAAAAATTGAGATAAATGATAAATTTGTCACTTTATATTTTAGGTGAATGTGAATTTTGTGATTGTATTTTAATTTTATTGAATTGTCATTTTACTTTCAATTTTGATGATTTTTAAATAAAAATTAATAGAAATAGAATATTTTGTTAATATGTTTAAAATAAATTTTTAATAAAAAAAATTTATGATATGAATATTTCACCGTCATCATTATTTTTAAGTTATCTAATTAATTTTCTCTCATCCAAATACTCCTTAGCATTATTCTTTCATCTTTCAACAGTTCATTCTACCATGAATATTTTTGTAAAAGTATATATCTTCAATTTTTTATCCAAATTGGCGTTTGAGTTTAAAAAAAAAAATTATTGTCCCACCATTTTTATTTACTGAGTCACAATTTTCAAATGAGATAAAAAGAACTTGGTTCTCAATCATTTGTCCACGTTGAAACTACCCATTATCCTGTTTGATTTGCTGGTCTGGATACTCATCCAGACAGAAAGCCTAGCACAAGCATTAATGAAGCCAGTTGGCTCTTGAAGTCTGCAGTCTGAACTGAGCTTGGTGATCTAGGCCTCAATGTGGGCTTTAAATTTGTTTTAGTTTAAGCTACATACAAACTCTCTGGTTGTTGTTTAGGCCATTCCATTTCTCGTATAGTCATGCACCGACTCCAAGACTTTAGCATGTCGGAGCTTGATCACCGATTAGTAGGATGGCAAGATGATTCATATTTGACAAATTTTGATCCGCTCAGATTTAATATAATTGAATTTTTTTTTTTTTAAATTGATGATCCGATTGTTAGTGGATTGGATTTTTTTTAAAATTGAAATCAAATTGAAGTCAGATATTAGGTAACATCATCTCAATTGGAGTATATTTAAAATATATTCTTTTTATTATTTATTTAATTTTATATTAATATATATTATATTAATAAAATATTATATTTATATATTTAATATTTTAATTTAATATTTTAATTTAATAAAATATTATTTATATTAAATATTTTATAAATATTATATTAAATTAAAATTATTAAATTAATTTTAAATTGAACGACAACAATTTATTAATATGCATATTAAATATAAAAAAAAATTGATATTAAAATTGAATATACATATTAAACAGTCGAATCCAAATTAAAACGAATAAAAAATCGACTTGACTCTAGCTATTGTCATCCGTACCGAGCCCTACCAAATAGTGAATTGTGGATTAGGCCGTAAGGTCCAATAACTGGGATATTCCTTAGCTGCATCGATTTCTACCAACTTTACTCAGGCTTCGAACCTCTTCAATGGCCAATTTCCTCTTAGTTGCAAGTAAATACGTAAATAATATTTTAATACTTATAAATTATTTAAGTTCGATTTAAATAAAATTTAAATTCGATTTTATTATTATTAAGTTGGGCTCGAGTTCGAGTAATTCAATTTATTGATCAAATAATTCAATTTATTAATTGAGTCGAGTTCGAGCATTCTTATACTCGATTTGAATAATTAACGAGCTTAATTGAATTTTTATATTTAAATATATTTTTATTATTTTAATTAATAAAATATCTCAAATTTGAACTCGAACTTGAATATAAATAATCGAGTTTTTTTCAAATATAAAAATCGAATTTATTTTTACATGTTAATAAAGTTTAATTGAACGAGCTCGAGTTACGCGATTTTTATTTTGAGTTGAGTTCAAACTAAAAAAATAAACTCGATCGAGTTCGAGTCGAGTTTTGAACTTAAATTTTGAATCGAGCTCAAACTTAATACTGTATCAATTAGAACTCAATCAATTATACTTTTAGTTGCAAATAAAGGTGATAGTAAAGAGGCTAACTGGGTTGGATTGATTTTATTTTGTATGGATAAAATTTTAATCATTTAATTTTTTTTTTGTTTTTAGTGAAGTGTTGCAATATTTCCATTTGCAAAGTGAAAGTTCTTCCTTGTCTCATGTTTTCTTGTTTCTAATCTTTAGACTTTTCCATAATTTTTTTTATAAAAAGAATTATTATAAGTTTTAAAATTATAATCTTAAACATGTTAAATACTATTTTTTAAAATAATTATATAAATTAATTAAATTAATTTTTAAATTCGTCCTCATCTCATCATCAACATTAAAGACTAATGTCTAGACTGTCAAATTATAATAACTTATCATCCAACTTTATTCATGTGAGATTTTCCTTTCTTGTAACTTAAGCAAGATTGTAATCCGGCAAAATGAATAGAGAAGAAGTTCGGTCCATATACTTATGATGCAAGTTAGACTAATACAATGAATTTTCTTTTTTTTTTTTAATATTAATTTGTGATTAGAGAGAGTCAAAAACCATCATTTTGCAATTTGTTGTCCTCTAAAATATAAGGACGTTGGCTATTATGTTAGTACTCTTATTAGTTTCACAAACTTCCACATGATCCAATCATTAAGAGTGGGTTGATTTCTCCCTCTCTGGATTATTCATTATTATTGCTTCATTTTGGATGGTAGTGAAAGGAATCCAATCCACGTGTTATTGCATTGTTTTTAACTGAACCACTGATCATTCAAATTAAGCATAAATTAAATTATTCCATGTGAAATTATAATTTACTTAATTTTATTTGATTAGAGATTTTATAGTATTTAGTAGTGATTTTAAGTCCCGATTAATTCGGAATCAAGTAGGATCAAACTCTATAAAAAAAAAACTTTTTTAAACATATTTTTTTATTTACAAGATTCGAAATCGAAATATTACTTAAGTAAAATCGAATTTATTGTCATTTAGACCAACAAATGTTGATTAATTTACTCAATGTGTATCTTCTTTATATTTCATTTTACATTTTATTTGTTCATATTTTTTTTTTGTCAAATGAACATAATTTTGACATTTTTTAATATCAAATAGAATTAAAAAATGATTTATCAAATTTCATGTTTAAAATTTTTTTTCCATAAATCAAGCATATATTATTTTAAAAAATAAGGTAAAAATTGAATTAATTTAACAAAAAAATCAAATAAAAGAAAATGGAGGGAGTATTATTGGTTTCTATATAAGATGGCAGCACTATTGTACATGCTTGGAACTTGCAATTTCTAGCCAAGCCACCAATCTCCTTTGATAGAGTATATTGATTTTGTTTGTAATAAGATTATCTCGAAAATTTTATATATAATTACATTAATGTAACTTAGGCTCGGAATAAAATTTGAGTGAAAATCTAAAATCCAAGTCCATACATATAGGCCTTTTCATTAAACTTTTTTTTTTTTTGCATTTTTTATAATTAAAATTTTCAAAAATTGAATTTATTATTGAAATTAAAAATTAAATAGTTTATTAAGAGCGTGTGATTTGTATTCATGATTATGCTTTAAGAAAGTGATGATGGTGCACTTTCCATTGTTACTTTTCATCATCATGCGATATCCACCCAGATTCTATATGTCTTTAAAGTAAATAGAGAATTTTATAGCAAAAGTTGTCATGAAAAGAAATTATTCTTCAATTCCTTCCTCATGTTGAAAAAGTTGAAGGCAAACGTTCGGTTTTCTTCATCCTTTATTTTTTTTTTTTAAAGTGTTAAATAATTATTTATTCCTATATCATACATTTTTTTTAGCAATTTTGTATCTAAAAAAAATAAAATTATCAATTTTATACTTTAGTTTTCATTCATCATCTATTTTGATATCTTAGTTTAATATCAGTAGTAAACTTATTGATGTGATATGAAGTTTAATATAAGAAGTTAACTTATTAATGTGATATGAATATCCAATAAAATATTAACACGTGTTAAAAAGTTCAATTAATATCATATCAGCAATTGTCACATTAGTATTAAAGAAAATTTTTTTTAATTCTCAAAATTTTAAAAAATCTAAAAATTTTAATAAAAATCTAAAAAATGAAAAAATTAGGAAAATAAAAAAATAAAAAAATAAAATTTTCTTAAAATTAAAAAAAATTCACAAAAAACTTTAAAAAATTGAAAATTAAAGCAATCTAAATTTTTTTTGAAAAAATATGAAAATCTGAAAATTTTTAAAATTAAAAAAAATCTGAAATATTCTAAAATTTTAAAAATTTTCGAAAAAATAAAATATTTAATATTTAATAAAAATAAGAATTTTCAAAATTTTCAAAAAATATAAAAAAATATATAAAAAATACATATAATTAAAAAATGAAATTTTTTCAAAATTTTTAAAAGTTTTCATAATCTTTTTAAAAAATGTATATTTTTATATTTTTCATTTTTTAAAAAGTTTTTGTGAATTTTTTTGAGTTTTAAGAAAATTTTCTTTTTTTAATTTTTAGAATTTTTAGAATTTTTTATTAAAATTTTTAGATTTTTTTTTTTAAAATTTTGTATTTTTTTACTTTTATAAAATTTTAAAAATACTTCAGTTTCAGATATCAAAGTAGATAATATAATACAATTTGAAGTATCAAATTAACAATTTTATTTTTTTAAGTACCAAATTGATTAAAATATATAATACAATAGTCAACTATATATTTATCCCTTTTGTAAAAACTTATAAGATTTATAAAA